ATGACACAACAAGTAACTTCTGCTTCATTGAAGATCGAAGCCGAGTAGTTATAATACTGTCATGCAAGTCTATAACATATGAGGGAAAGAGTAAACAGGAAATCTTAATGGAATAAGAGGTTGGTCCTGAGCCCCCTCTTCTTTGCCACTGGTGCCTATTCTTGAGTTTGAAAGCTTCCGTGCTCATTCTTTATCTTTTTTTTTTTTTTGAAAGCTTCCTTGCTCATTCTTTATCCTTTTTTTTTTTTTTTTTTTATGACTGTGAGAAAGGTGGTATTGTTGCTAATGCATTGTATTGTGAGGGAGTGAAGAGGAATCGATAGTTTTGAGTTTGAGTACGAAGTTTTTTTAATTTTCGGGATCGTTCCTAACCCTAGTTTCTTTAGTCAACTGATTTATTGAATGATCAGTTGATTGATTCATGGATCGGCCGATCAATTGATGGGTGGGCGATTGGTTGGTTGGTAGGTTGGTCATTGTGCGACGGTATTTTGTTCTTGAATTCTGTTGTCAATCACTTCCCTACCTCCTTTCCTTCTTTAGTCTCTGTGTTCTCTTCTCTCGTTGACTCCTCGTCCTCTTTTTTTTTTCCTAATAAGGTGTGATGAATGGATGTTGAGGCTTGGGTGGGAAGATGAGGTGATCCTCCGAGTATCGGTTTGATGGTTCTCTCCCCCCCTTTTTTTTTTTTTTTTTGCCAAGCTTGATCCGGGTATAATTTTGGAGTGAAGGCATAAGTGAATTGATCAAATGATTGATAGGTCAGATGATCTTCTGGGCTCCTGACCAGATAGGTTGATCAGCTGCTGTTACATAAAAACGATTGGGTCACTGACCTTCTTAGACAGTGAATTGGTCGATCAGTCAAAAGGAAGATTGATTGCATGGTTAGACAAATGATTTAATATGGCCATAGAGTCCATGATCAGCAGACCGTCAGTCTGTGCCATGCATCCACCCATCTCAGCCCCTCTTGCAGTCCATTTTCCAACACGTATTTGAGCAAGGCACTCGTGTCAAGCATGGGAAACAACTCCAGGTCCGTTTTGTCCCAGAAGTCATCGGTTAGGGGGCCATATTTGGCTTTCAGGTTGCCCATGAGCCAGTCTGCAATAGCGACCAGTTTGTGTTCCACGGGCAGATGTAGTGGCGGTGCCCCCTCCCCGTCCTATCTTGGGAAGCCAAACCTTCCGGCGACATGCGAGCATTCGCCGGGAGGGGGTCGACATCCATTGGTTCAGAGTCGAAGGCGGCCTGGAGGGGGTCTGTATCTATCATCTGGCATGCTCCTTTCTGTTGTCGCCCCAGATTGCTTTCAACTTCTCCTCCGCGTGTTCACCCCCTGACGCCCTCGACTCCACCTCCATTTCCTCCTCCTCCACCTGGATGAGGTCCATGTCTCTCATCTGATTTGCTGCTGTCCCCTCAGATTGTTTCAACTTCTACTCCGGGGTTTCTCCCCCCGGTGCACCTGACTCCAACTCCAATTCCTCTGCCTCCTTTTGTCTCTCCGACAGTCCCTTTGCTCCTTCCTGTTGCAACTGTTTAGAGGGATTCCCCTCTGCCCTTATGCTCTTGCCCTCTGTTGTGTCTGCTCTGAGGGAGTGAGGTGCATCCTTCGACCCCTGGTGTCAGCTGTGCCTTCCTCTTCCTGGATGTATCGCTCAGCAGCAGGGCCCATGGCCCCGCAGGGGTTGCGGCGGTCTGGGTTCCGCTTGTTGTTTTTGAATCCAGATTTCTTTCCCACCTCTCTTGTCCACCGTCTTCCAGCCTGAGTTTTCTGAGTTCCCTTGCTGGGGGTTTGCCTGTGTCTCGTGCACTTTCTCCTCCACCGGAGCCGGAAGGTCCATGGATTCGGGGGGCATGTCCCCCAGTCAGGCTCTCCAGTTCTCTCCCACTTCCACCCAGTTGATACTGTTCGTGTTAGGTCTGCGTAACTGTCAATGAACCATTGGTGCCTGTTCGTCTGTATGAATTCTCGTTGCTTTTGGATGAACCAATTTTCTTTGACGGCCATGGACAGCCTCTCGGTCACTAGGAGTCTAGCAGGGAGTTGTTCAGCCTGAAAAAAAACTGTCCTGTTTCGACTGGTGAGTTGAAATTGAGCAACTGTTGAATGGGCTTGTGGTCCAGTCCTTTGAAGGCAGCCGAAGGACATATTTCAGCTCCCTTGATTGCACCTTGCAGACTCTCAGGGATCAGGAAGTAATCGATCCTGGACAATGAGGTCCGATTGACTTGGTTCTTTCTGATATGGGAGAAAGCTTTTTTATCTGGATACAACGCCCTGAACGGATCGACGAGTTCATATTCTGTCATCAGATTCCGTATCCGTGTTCCCACCCTTGTGGGACCCAATAATACTGTCCTAGAGATCCAGCCCAAGTTGGGGTCCAGAGTCGTGTTCCAATCCCCCCAGCGGGATAACTGGTTGCAGGTTGGGGATAAGAGGCTTGATGTTCTCAAAGAAAATCAGTCGTTCGGGTTCTGTGTTGGGTGCGTACAGGTTGAGGATTCTTAGCTCTTCGTCTTGCCATCTTATGTCTAACCATGACCATCTACCCTCCTCGCTGTCTCCCTCGCTGTTCAAGATTTGACCTTCAGTCAGAATCTTGGACGTCCTCGGTATGAGAATTGCAGTTCCTTTCTTACTCAAACCCTCTTTGTTGGATATGCTAATATGATTTTAACGAGTACTTTATGCACACTTTTATTTTTGGGTGGGTGGTTGCCCATCATCACATGCTTATGCGATGCAAGTACACAAATGATTGGAGAATCCTGTAGAAATGATATGATTACACGTTGCGCACCACATTGCAAACAAACTGTGCAAACAGTCTTATGTCAACAAATGGAACAAAACTTACAAAAGTTCAAAACATTGTTGACTTTTCAAGTCAATTCTCCCATTCATTTACAGGCCTCACTGTGGGCTTGCCGTGGGAAGATTCATTCCCATTTTGCACTTTCGAACCACGCATGTGTGTGTGTGTGTGTGTGTGTGTGTGTGTGTGTGTGTGTGTGTGTGTGTTTTAGATTTTCCCCACAACAGCCCCAATTCCACCCAGGTTCAGAATCAAAGCAGTCTTTATCCTATTGCAGACAACGAG